TCATCAAAGCTCACAGGTGTTGCTGTTCCCACAGAGCCCCCTAGGAAAGCGTGTCAGCACTGGGAAGGGGTCTAGCTCACGTGGTGGAACACACCTGTTCCAACATTCTGGTTTTCTCTTGGGGGCTGACATTTTATCAAGACAACAGGACTGTCAGTTGTCACCTGCCAGGTGATATTTCCTGAAGGAGAAGCTCACGTTCATTTTTGGAAAGTGTGAGCCAGTTCACCAGATCTCAGCAATCCTAGTGTCTGTGTCATCCATTCTGTTACACACACATGGGCCAGGCCGGGTGTGGCACAGTGACTGAGCATTGACCTATGAACCAGGACTTCAGGGTTCCATTCCGGGTGAGGCACCAGCTGAGATGCAGGCTAGATCCCCAGTGGGGGGCTTGCAGGAGGCAGCCTATCCATGGTTCTCTCCCATCATGGATGTTTCTATCTCTGTCTCCCTCTCAGTTCCTGTCTGAAATCAAAATTTTAAAAATATATTTTTATTGATTTCAGGGAGGAAGGGAGAGGGAGAGAGAGATAGAACATCCATGATGAGAGAGACTCTGCTGCCACCTACATGTGCCCTACTGGGATTTGAGACCACATCCCGGGCATGTGACCTTGACCTGAATCAAACCTGGGACCCTACAGTCCACAGACCTATGCTCCAGCCATAGAGACAAACCAGTTAGGGCTCAATTTTTAAAGAAAAGTAAGCATGGGATCCCATGAGGAAGAGGATAGGCCCGCTCACACACATGATCTCCCTGGTACATGACACTTGGGAATGTGGTGGAAGTGTTTTTTGTGTACTTCCCAGGACATCATATAACGTTTTTTTATCCTCCATTTTTATTCAAGACAGTTAAGAAATTAATCCATCTGTGTAATGAATGCAAGATACATATATAGTCTTTTTAAAAATATTTTTAATTTTTCAAATATAGTAGATGTACAATATTGTATTAGTTTAGGTGTACAGGTCTGCGATTAGACATTCATATAACTTATACAGTGATCGCCCCCATACATCTAGTACCATGTGGCCTCACATGTAGTTGTTACAATGTGATTGACTGTGTTCCCTGTGCTGTCCTTTCCCTCCCCGTGACCACACTTTAAGGACCGTGTGGTGTTTCTTCCTCCTTCACCTGCTGTGCCCAGTCCCTCCCCTGCCCTCCGGCAGCCAGCAGGCTGCTCTCTGTGGCTGAGTCTGTGGCTGCTGTAGGATCCTTTTGGGAGGGTTCCAGGCGGCTCTGAATGCTGGTTGTGGGGAGGGTGGTGGTCATTGTCCTGTGGTTGTGGGCGATGCAGGCACCGCGTTCACCTTTGGGGCATCTCCACCGGAGGCCACGATGTTTTAAAAATGTGGATGGAAGGATGAGGCTTCAGTAAAGATAATAATTTCACCTCCTTCCACCGTGTCATTTAAAAGCGAAACTGGTTTTGTGCTCTGTCTGTCTTCTCTCTGCAGGTCAGTGCTGGGGAAGAGGAAGGACTATGGAGGTCGGGTGTCAGCCCATTCGTGCTGAGCTTGGCCTCAGGGCCCATGTCAGCAGAGTGAAAAGGCGAGGATGTCCTTCATCTCCTGCAACAGTGTTGACCCCCACATCCTGGGAAAGGCTCTCAGATACTTCAGGGTTCCACAGACCAAACTTTGAGGAAGGTCTTTCTGGATAAATGTTGTAAATGTTTCCCTCCACGTCCCGTGTGGTTCAGGGTTCAGGATCTGGAAGAGGAGCTGCACACAAATGAGAGAAAAAACAAGAGATAATTTGGAAATATTGGGGGGCCAGGCGGGTAAGTCCAACTCAAGAAGAAGGACTTCCACTGGTGTTCAGGCTACACCAACCATTTTATAGTCAGACGTAAAGAAGGTAGTGGTTACCATAGTTACACTGTTCTTGTGAGTTTCACTTGTTTTGACCATAGTTACACTTTCTGCACTTCCCTCAGCCCATTAGCTTCCCAGATAAGATCTAGGGAGTGTCATAAGGTCAAGCCTAATTATGCTAAGACGACTGTGTCCTCTAAGCTGGGACTTGTTTGTGACTTTGCCAACAGGTCAGTCTGAGGCTTAACCCTGTATCGGCTCCCCACAGATAAACAGGAGGCAGTTTCCAAACTCGTCGCTGCTTTTCCATCCTTTTCTCTTCCCAGAATCCCTCTCCATAAGGCAGGATCCTGTGCCCCAAACTGAGCTCACAGCACTGCCCCTGGGACCTTCTAGAAGAGAGCTCACCCTGGAAATCCGGCAGGGAGAGTCCTCAGCCTGGGAGGGAGGTGGAGGGACAGGGGTGTCCCCTCTGGGACAGGGAGCAGTTTGTGCCTGAAGACACCAGTCCCACAGACGCCCACTGTGGTTGCTACACCCCAGCGGAGTGTGCGCTCACATCCCAGACAGAAACCTGATGTGTCTGTACGAGAAGCTATCTTGGCCCTTTTATTTTATTCCTTTCAATTTTTAAAAATATGTTTTCATTGACTTTAGATAGAGAAGCAGGAAGAGGGAGAAAGAGAGAAACGTGGATGCGAGAGAGAATCCCTGATTGGTTGGCTCCCCTATGCGCCCTGACCCGGGGTCACACCTGAAACCTGTCAGTGACCAGGTGAGCGTTCACCCCACTGAGCCGAACTGGCCAGGCAGGGCCCTTTTATGCAAATGGGCAGAGTGCTTTGACCTGAGGCCCTGACACCATGCAGAGCAGTCTGTCCAGCAGGACATTCTGTGAGTGAGGACTCGCTCTGCATCGGTTCCTCCCACGTGGCAGCCACCAGCTGCGGTGGCCACTGAGCCCCTGACACGTGGCTCCTGTGCCCAGCAGGGGGACTTGCATGTCATGGACGTTTAATTCTGCCGCCATGGGGGTCGTGGAGCTGCCATATGAGAGAGCGCTCGGCTAAATGCTCTTAGTTTCCAGTCTCTGCCCCCACAGGGCACCGTGTGGCTCATTGATGGATGGAGGTTACTGTTCTCTTCACGTGGAAACCACGGGACTTCAGTTGTGTGTGTGGGTCTCTGATA